ATCTGTGTATTTAACTTTAGGGATTTACAATGAAACTCTGAGGTTTCTCATTAAATTGAACCTAACATGTGGTTTGAGAGCTTTTATGGATGGGATCTGTTTCTTGGTTGTCTGCCATCCTGTACCAATGCAAGGGAGACCGCTTCCTGATGAGGGGTGCTGAGTGTGACCCAGTGCAAATTTTAAGTGTTGCTAACAGTTGTATTAAGACGCGTCTGAAACCTTTAGAGATTCCACGATGCAATCTCTTGGGCAGCTGGGTTATTATACAAGCCAGATGCTGCAATATAATACAAGGATAATTCTTAAAGTTGTCACTTCTGCACTAGGAAATTCAGGAGATTTATTTCAGGTTGATTTACTGTAAAATTTTGCCAATGTATTATTGATTTTTAAAGTATCTAGCCTACTTCAATTTCAGAATATGTTTTGAAGCTGGAGGCTAGCAGCTTATGAAGATTAGTAATGGTAAGCATAGTTTCATTGTGACAGAGTTAAATGGTGTTATTCCCCTAGATCAAAAAGACCTTGAACTTCAGACACACGTATCAAACTCTTCACATAAGGTATGCAAGCCTGAGCTGTGTGGGAGCATGCCAGGGTCACTTAGATGTGTATCTACAATATATCTTTGCAATCATCGGACATGTCTGAGCTGATTAATGACTTACATGCCTAAATTATGTACTCCGGCTTCATAGATGAAGGTACAGGTATCTGTGATCACCTGGCCTGATGCCTATAGGTGTATTAGATACATTAGATGCTTTTTATTTTACTGGAGAAATTAAACTACTGAAGTGCTGTGTAATGCAAGTCTCTGTGCAATATTTTAGCATCTCTTCATGCCTGCAGACCCTGTAGCTTTGCCTTTTTCTTTAGCTGTTGTTTTTCTTACTGGGGGCAGAGGACTGAAGTGTTTGAGTGAAAGAAATGCTTGTACTTGAGGGATGAACTCAAGCACCTGAGGAGATATCATCTGCAATAATTCCTATTTTAACACTACTTGTTTTGTGAAAAAAGATAACGACACAGGTTTGCATTACAAAGTTATGGAAAATTATTAGAGACACTGAAGCAGATCATGCTCTGGAAAAGTAAATATCCTGTGTATATAGTTGTTTCTAGGGCATGGAGAGTTATCAGCTGATTGCTTTTTAGAGGTATATACCTTTATATGTCCATAATCTTAGCCTAATTAGCTGTCCCAGGGAACAGACATCTGTATAAACCACCTTACTTAAATAACAGGTATGTTATTTAAAGAAATACCTACTAGATGAGAATAAAAGCAACTGAAGAGGTTACGAAGGCCCATATTATAGGGTGGTCACAGTGCTGAGTAGCTGCCAGGTGATGAGACTGTTACCCAAGGCACTCAGGGAGGGTATTTGGACTCCCTGATTCAAAGAGTTGCCTGACTTTTTATGGGCATATGAGACATTAAAAGAGGATGAGGAGCACTTCAAGATAGATGAATCCAGCTCCCTCAATTCATTGAAAATGAGATGCCTTGGAAGTTACTGAAGCTCTTCATTAGCTGGTTGTCTTTAGGAAATAGTGCAGTCTATTTTTCCACCTAGTCTCTGATTTGCTGAACTGGGCGAAGAGAAAATGAGCTCAGCGTAAACTAAAGATTTTGTTTCATCAACATTTCCTTCCATGGCAGTGTTGGCTTTAGCATCTCACCCTGTCTCCACCATACACACCTCTCTCTGTGCTGCCCTTCTGGTGCTTTTTTTTTAAATTTATTTTGGCTGATTATTTTTAATCAGCATCAGTTCAGCATGTTGCCATGCTGACAGATATGTACTGGCCTTCCTGACTGAGGGCTGTGTGGGGGAAGGCTGTTTAAAATGAGCATTGCTGCTTTAAGAAAGGCTTTTGAAAGTACAGAGGTGTTCATTAAAACTAAAGGATGAGGGTATGTTTTTACCCTGCATGATATATAAGCCAGTCTTGGAGGAGGATTGCCAACTGTCCCAATGTGCTTCTAGATGGAGAGAATAACCTGACATTTCAGCAGTTTTCTCTGGCTGTGATAAGAAGGGATTAGTTGTTATGGGGTTAGACTAATGACTTGGATAAAGAGGAGCTGAACACAGGCCTTGCCCAGACCTTGGACCAAATTCAACCCGACAAAAAAGTTTAAAGCAGAAACTGGTGATTTTTTTTTACTTTTTTTTTTTTTTTCCACATTCTAATATTGGTCAGTACAAGAAATAAAATCATAATATATCATCCAAACATGCTTTTCTCGATTTTTCCTGCTGGTGGCTGTAGAACAAAGCTTGCGCTGTTCCCTGTGTGATTTCTTGATTTTAAAATATGTCTGGACAGAGGTCCAGAGCCAATATCCTAGTTGGCGTATAGTGGCTTCCCTCTGAAGCTACCAGGCAAGTGGCACCAAGAGAAGATGTGTACATTAAATGGTCAATGTTCTCCTGTTTAGCCATTTGCATTCAGTATTCAATTTCTCCCTTGAAGTTTGCTACAGATCACACAAATCTCCACCCTGCCACTGACATATGCTTACATATTACAGTTTTGAGTTGGATCAGAGCAGACTCTTCCCATAATAGGTACAGATCCCCTGTTTTCACACCAAGACACGAAGATCTGTCCCTCCATCTCCATTGTAAATTCAAAATGCTAAAAAGTGGGTTGGAAACTGCAACAATTCAGAAAATCTAGGAGACCTCATCTGCAGTGAACATGTGATTTCAGGTGCACACACACATCTGTTAAGTGGGAACTGCACTGGGGGAACTGCATTGCGTAATGACTCATAGACTGTATCAGCCTGCTCCAACCCACCCAGTCCTAAACATAAACATACTTGAAACACAGACCTGTTCGTAAACTGCAGGTTATAACAGAGCTTTTACCTGAAAAATGAGTAAACGTTAGGAAGAAGAGGAGAGGCATCTCAACTAATGATGTCTACTGCCTTAACACGTGAAACACATTATGGTAGAGTCACAGCAGCAGTGTACTGCCGTTTGTTGTGAGGCTACTTATGTATTCGCCAAGATGGTAGAGTGAGCACTGCACCATCAGTGGGAGAGGTATGGTTGTCAAGGGAGGTACTAGCTCCTACTTCCTTATTGTGTGGGGAGAAAATAAACTTTGTTTCCCTTCTGTAAAGGTTTGAACATCTTCAGGAAACAAACGTGGCTGAATCAAACTAATTTCTAATCAAGCTTTTACTTTCTTATAATTGCTTGATAGTGCTTGATGTAATTCACTGCACAGATCTATGGAATGCAGCACCTTGTCTTGCCTGCACTAACTTAAAAAATTCAAGTATTCTTAGTTTGTAGGTTTAACAATCCCCCCATCCAGTAGCAGTCCCAGATCTGCTTTGCTCATGTAGGAGAACAATATCAAGCTGTTCTGCTAGCTTCTTTGCTTCCTTTCCCCCCCCACAAAGTTTTGAAGAATGTTGCTCAAGATTATGAGATGTTTCACATTCTTCAAGCTGAAATTTGACACTGCTAATCCAAACAGCCAGGCCTTTTGGCAGTTAGTTCCTAGTGCAGAGCTCTCCAATGGTCCAGCTGAAATAATGCATGAACTATAGCTAAACGTGTTGGGGAGAGGGCCACCTTTGAAAGAAAATCTTGTTAAAAAGTTTAGTTTAACAAGCCGGTGACAGGCATTTCACGAAGCAAATCTACAAATTGAATTTGAGTTACACATACATGCTTCACTATTCAGTTTTGTCTTAGAGTGAAGCGGGTTCATTAAAAAGGTAGAGAAACGAAGCTTAGAATAAGATAAAAAAATATAGGCATACCTTTGTATAGGCAATCCACTCTTCTGAAAGAAAGAGATATTCTTGTTACTTGGTCAGAAAGCAAGCAAGCAATCTGATTTTGTGAAAAAAGTACTCATTTGTTAACAGAAATGTACTACATAGACTTAGGCATTGGCTAATTATTTTCACTGTTGTGGAGAAAGGAGAACTCATTTGATATCCAGAATGTTTTCTATATTCAAAGGGAGAGGGGGAATAGCTTTTGGTCTGTGGCACAAAACTAACTGGTTAATAAAGATCTATACATCTATTTGACACAATCCACATTCAGTGAAAAGTGCGTAGGTGTTTTGCATAAGGATGGAGTCAAGCATGTGTTCAAATTTAACTGCTTGTGCAAGGAATGCAAGGTCTTTGAGAATAGATCTAGTAGCAAACCTGGCTTGTGCAGTGCCTCTCCTTTTCTCCTTGGGGTGAAGTTATGGGGGACAGCTGAATGGTGGTTTGCTGCCAGGGAAAGACAGAGGGCTAGCTCCTCCCTTGCTTATTTCTCTTTACTGGTGCTGGCACTCACTGGACCAGTGCTTTGGTTTTTGGTTGTTTGGGGTTTTTTTGGGTTTGTTTTTTTTTTTTTTTTTCCCAGGAAAGATTGCACAATTGCCTACTCATTTATGGAGCTGAACATAAAAATCAAGGGGGCTAGTGAGTGGCAGAGCTAGGTAAGTGGACGTGAAGAAAGGGAGTGGGACCTCTTCCTTTGGTAGTAGCAAACCTTAAATTTGGCTCAATCATCTTGAATTACTTCATTTTTGGTTTTGTTGGGGTTAGTAATGTTATTCAGTAAAACAGAATGGAGAACTGCCCTGGCTTAGGAAGAACCCGGCTGAAGGACCCTGATAATAAAATAATTTTTTACAATCGAAACCAGAACTGGACAAATTACTTAGTCTTGTTCTTTCATAGCCCCACAAACAGTTATACTGGCGCACCAGGGTGAATGGACAGAGGTGGGAAAGCAGGAGTGGACTAGGCCAACCTGATCACTAAGAGACAAGGCTGGAACCATTGCCTCTTGCTGCTTTGGAAGAAAAATCTCCCTTCCTGTTGGGCGTAGAAGTTGGTCTGTTGTATCAAAGGAACTAGGGCCAGGTTGTAGTCTAGGTTAAGAACTGTGGTTTTGTATATGCACTGGACCGTGATGGACCAACACTGAATATGCGAGACTGAAAAGGAGGTTGCATCATCCTATTCCTCTTACCTGGACACTCTCCTCTGGGCTGGGGCAGAGGAGTCTTCTAGGCAGCGTAGCAGAGTTGGGTCTCCAAGCGTTTTGGAGTGTCTCACTGGGACTGTCATTGCTGAGAGGATCTTTTTGGCTTGGTAATTTTGATCTGGGTCTGGCAGACTCTGGATCTGTTATAGTTGTCTCAGACTTGGCTTTGGAAGACAGTAATTTTGCATGAACACAAGAAGGCAACAACAAAGAGGTAGCTGTAGTGCACCGAGGTGGACTCTTACAGATGTGGTGGAGCGAGCCAGTGTATTCCTTTTGATTCCCCAGCTGAGCTGTGTCAGAGCAGTCCTGAAATGACAGCGTTTGTGAGGCAGAGGCCATCCTTAGACGCCTTAAAGTTGGAGAAGTGGAAATTCTGGCCAAAGCATGCCGGTCAAACTGGAAAGGTGCATGACGACTCCCAGTGCACTCTGTGGGAAGCTTCAAAAGTGAAGATTCTGTATAACCTCGTCTTCGAATGTAGTCACCTGGAGGCATGGTGGTGTCCGTACAAACTGAAACTGCCTGCATTTCACAGTGACTGAAGACATCTTCTGGACTGCTGCTTCCAGACAAAGCATCATCTTCTTTACGAGGCTCAGCTTCCCTGTTTAGAAGTTCCATGCTGATGCAGCTTTCTTTGACCAGGTCTGGAGAATAACCAGAGCTTGGTTGTTGCATTCTTCATTTGCAGCGTGAAGATTTATAGCTTTGGGTACCTAGGACACATGATCAGAAAGGGTTCTTAGAAACTTGCTGTATGCATTTTTATACGGAGAATATGAAAATGGTAAAAAATCGAAACAAAATAATTAGATATGTGCACTAGTACAGAAACAATTGCCTGCACTTTGAATCCTGCTTAAATGCAGGTTTCAAAAGCTTCAGGACCCTATTTCAGCAAGCTGTTTGAATAGTCACTAACTTGCACTGTGTGCAAGCAGTGTCAGCATCAGTCAGCAGAACTAATTAGATGGTAAAGACTAACTGTGTAATTAGGAACGTTGCCCATCTGGTACTGCAACCGCCTAATTTCCTGTTGCCACTCCCCCATCGATAAGTGAGATTGTGATACTGCTGTACATGGGATAAAAATGAAGTCACTAGCTCTCAGGACTACTACTTGCTGCAAAATTGTTTATGTACAAATACTAATTACTTGCTGAATACTTAAGCAAATACAATTTAACATTTATGGAAGGTGAGTCTAATCACTCTTGCTTTTCATCAGGAAAAGTATTTTGTAGTAAACATTATGTATACATTGTAATCAAATAATGAAGACAACAATGTATCAAAGTAACTTATCTATTGATTGATCAGTAAATAATCTTCTGTGAATCATGAAGCTCTATTTTAAGGTATTTTGATGACTAGTCTCTCTAAAATTAGACTGGCATTTCAAGTTGTAACTGAAGGTTATTAATTCAGCCTCTTCAACTTCTTTAATTCAGCTTCTTTGTTTGCTAAGAGCAATCTTAAAACTGTTCATGATTGCTGGCTTCTTTGGGCACTTTTATTTCTTAGAATGAGTTTATTCAAATATATGTTGACTTTTTTTCTTGAGCTATTGAATATCACACATTGAATATGATTTTTGTTTAATTATATAGTCCCATCAGATTGATTTATAAAGTGATTAGAAACAAATTATTTCATCAAGTTTGCTAGTTCAAAGTATTGCTTTTTACAAACTCTTCAGTCATCAGAAGACAATCATTCAGATCTCTACAGGAAGAAAAAGCACATCTTTATGATGGAAATGATTTCTTTCATAACTGTAGTGAATAGCCACAAATATATAAGCATCTATTCACTTCTGTTTAATAGATAAAGGCTAATTAACACATATGCTTATTAAAATGGACAAGCACTAAAAATCATATTCAAGATGTATAATGAATGACAATAATGAGAAATTAGACTATTTTCCACTTCTGAGCAAAGATATAATTGCATACCATTGCTCTGAGACTTGCTGTTATTGCTTTTTAATCTTTCAAGACTTTAATTTTGTGAAAAGCAATCACATCTGAGCTACATAAATGAAATAAAAAATGATCATTTTTTGGCCATGCTTTTTTTTTTTTTAAATAATCACCTCTTCCCCCCCTTGCAGAATTTTGCAACTCGGCATGAAACTTCCAGATATTCAGACAAATACAGTTCTGTTGCAGAAATAGATAAGGTTAAAACCATATTTTTATGGAAGTCTTATGTTAAAAATATATTTTTGTTTATTTTCAGTTTACCAAGCTTTTTAAAATTTTAAATAAGTTGAAACTTAGGAGTTTATTTACGAGTACTTACAAGTTACTTTTATGGGTAGAATCTGTCAGCAGCAAAATATTTGTAAAGAAAATACATTGGTAAAAAGGTGTAGAAGTATGCCACACTCATACAGGAAAAATTAGTGTATATGATTAAACTTACCAAGGTAGCGAGGTGAAGATTTACCAACTTCCAGTATGTCACATCCTTTTCATATGCAATTTAGTCAAATTTTCAACAAGTGCTTGATTAACTGATAAGAGGCTTAGCAGTCGTGTTTTCTCTTTTAAAGCCTTCTTTCTGAATGCTGCTATAGGGAACTAGTTTTTCTTCTTGTAGATTTGTTTCTAGGGGATTTGTTGATCAGGTCAGACGGAAGTGGCTTCAGGATCAATGCCCATTTACAAAAGGTAACATGATCCATATGTTTTATTAAACTTCATTCCCATTATAATTCTTTTTTTTTGCACTTTTCACATTGATAAAGTTTGGCAAGTGAGATCTGTCAAGTATATAATAAGCTGCAAGAGCACACGAAATGTCTCCACTCCTCTGATAGTCCTTTTTTTTTTTTTTTGCTTCTCTTGATTAATTTGGCTGGATCTAGCTATGCATTGTTCATCCTTCATGGAAGAATAGTAGTGATATATCCCCTGATTACATTATTTAAAATCTGATTTTAATTTTAACAAGTGTGCTAACTATCTGTATAATTCTGAACACAGACAAATTTTAGTATTGGAGTATTTGATAATTCATTCAAACATCGATAACTTCTGTTGCAGAACTGATTGGAAACAATCAGAATTGGTTTAGGCATTCTTTGGTTGGGTGAACTGAAAGTGAAACTTGGAAAAAGATGGTTTTTTTGGTAGATAAGTTGTGAGGAAGCACTAACCGCCACAGATGTTCAAATCTATTGTGTCATTAACACACATTTTCAGAGGGCTGAGTGAACACTTTGAAATGCAGACAACCTTTACACCATGACATTTTCCTTTTCTGTAAAGTTTTTTTTCAAAACGCATCCACAAACCAAAACATGATACCCCAAAACTGGTATGAGTAAGTAAGTGCCTTTGATTTTTCTAAGCATTGGATGTGACTGTGGATTGAGGGAGGATTCTTTCAAGAGAATGACAGACGAAAACAAACTTGAAGGCTTTATTTGCAAGATTGTGACAATATTTATCTCATTATTCATTGACTTTGGCTTCTAATAAAAAGAGAGAAGTTAAAAAAAAAAAAAGTAGTCACCCTGCCTGAGAGTTGATAGTACAAGTGTATTTGCTTTATGTAGGGGTTTTAGGAATGTAAGAATTTTGTGGTTTGTGGATTTTTTTTTTTTTTTGACTCCTTATGCTGCTCTCAAGGTGATATTAGGATCAGATGAAATGAAACAGACCTTGTTGCCTGGTGAAATATGCAAATGTCTGGAGGTTTTAGTGTTCGAAGCTGTGCTTTCCAACCCCACAGGAGAGACCTAGGTGCACTGCGGTTGGGCAGGTCGGGGTGGTGAGGCTCTCCAGGAAGAAGTGCAAGGCTTCTGTGGGAAGGGGACAGACAGCAAGTGAAGCCATACTCTTCCTGGGGCGAAACAACCACTGTGGTGAGGAGACCAGGGAGCTATGCCCTCTGCTCCTGGCACTCTTTACATTTTTGTGTGGTGCATAAACAGGCTCTTCTGCTGCCTAACCGAAATCTGAATGTGCTTTAAAGCTGCTACTATGATTTTGCCTCCACAACCTCTTATCTGAAAGTATCTAGGTGGCCCTTTGCAAGCACCAGCCCCTAAATTAGTACAGGGTCTACCAGACCAGACCTTACTCTTGCTCTTCAGCTCATGGAAGCCTCATCCTAAATCTAAATCTAAATGTAACCCCAACTTCTGAATGTCTAAACATGCCAATGCTGCTATTCTGTTTGCCTACATGCAATTTGGAGGATGACAGATGGCTGGGCTAGAAAGAAGGCTGTTGTATGTTTCTCAGATAACAGTACCCATACCTGGGCCTTGATAGCTGCTATGTGGGATCATTTTTGAAAGAGACAGTTGGGTAAGTATTAGTAAAAGAAAGAAGTTAGAGTGCTAACCTGAGATCAGGACTGGTGTGAACTACTCTCTGACATGTAGTGCTGGGACTTCTTTAGGTGGCTTTGGCCATAGCTAGGCAGAAACTTTCTTTTGAGGCTTTTTTTGGTCAATTAATTCTGACTGAGACCTGGAGGTTTTTGTTGGGTTTGGGGTGGGGGTGTTTGTCTGTTTTGTTTTTTGTTTTTTTTTTAATTCTGGTTGAGACATTTTTAATGTGATCAGTATACTTATATTAAACTAGTACCAATTATATAAAAATAAATTATTATAATTCCTTCAAATTTGCTGGTGCTATAAATTGAAAACTATCTCTAACTTCCTTTACCTGGAATTAAAAATATTCTTAAAGGTTTAAGCACTTCTCTGGCTTAACTTTGGGGGCTACTTGTGGATGCAGGTGAAATCGTAATTGCCCTCATTTTGCCCAGAATTCACTTGAACTGTCTAACTGGCCTCTTAGCCCTAATTGTAATAAAGCAGGACTATGTATGTGCACTAAACTTGGCTCCTATCACCACTTCTGCTCAAGGTACATAAGGTACTACCTTTCTAAACAAGTATTATCCTAGGTCCAACTATAAACTCAATCCTAGATAAACCATTGCCATAGCATTAATTCTGCGAACTATAATTTTCATCCTCAGAAGCAAATGTAGCCAAGTCATTTAACTGCCTAAGCTCCAGTTACCTGGAGCATGTGCTTTCTAAAATAAATAATTAGATTAGACGAATGGCCTCTTCTGGTCTAAATCCTAACATTCATGTTCAAATCTCAACTTTCTGTCAAATAACTTTACTCTAAAATACACCTCCAATCTGAAGCTCAAGTTAATTGGTTTTCTATTGTGCATCTTTTCCTGGTAGTCTCCTTCGAGCACAGCCACTGCCCCGATTTGTTTGTCTTTGCTGACCTGGACCATAATGCTGCTGTCAGCATTAGCCATGGTCTTTTAAACTGTTGCAAGGTTTGCCAGGTGACTCATCCCAGGCTTAATCTCCAAGTTAGACCTATGCCCCCTTATGGATCAAGATGATACTTCAGGTCAAAGAGCTCTGCTAACTTTGAACATAACCATGTCTATCCTAAGCATTTTCTCGAGCCCTACTTCCCTGATTGTTCCAGAAATACACATAGCCAGATGTCCTCACTGGCCTCTGCAGTCACCTTCTGAACTTGCCTATTACTCATGCTACTAAGCCTCTGTATGCTGAAACTTTATGCATTGTGTTACCTCATTAATGTAGACCTACAGCTGCT